CCCGATTTTCCTCCTGTCTGTCTCCCTCCAGTCTGTCCCCCTCCAGTTTGTCCCCCTCCAGTTTGTCCCTCTCCTGTCGAATCATCAGAACAAAAGTTCTTCAACAAAAACTCAAAGCTACAAGAAGTCTGTGGACATAAAGACTCATAAAGGGAAGCCAACTACAACTACCAGGGTGCATTTCACCAACAAGCTGAAGCTTCACATAGACAAACAGGTAAACATTGAACTCAGTTCACTCTCTGATTCTAGATCAGTGTGAGATCGATTCAGTAACATGTAGACAGGTTCTGTTCCTCCATAACTACGGCAACTGAGGCTCATGGGTATTGTAGTATTTTGTTGTGTTTCATTCGTAGTTCCAGTGAGGGTCAAGTACTTCACGTTGTGTATTTGTACCTGCGGTGATGATAACCGTGTACATGATGACTCCTGCAGCGTTGGTCTGAACCTCCAGGTCCTGGTCCTGCAGCAGGTCCACCAGGACAGGAAGTAGCTCCTCCTCACACACCTGCCGCCTCCCGTCCTCACAGACACTGAAACAGGATTAAAGGGACAGTTTGGGTTGTTTTAAGTGAGGTTGTAATGAGGTCGTTGTCCACCGGTTCGTGAGTTAGTGTTGTTTGAATCTGAACAATAAGTCTCACAATAACACAAACTAAGTACAGGTGGAGGAGCAGCAGGTCAATGAGGGGTTAATGGATGGTCTGGTGTCAGACAGCACAGAGTGGTGTTGAAAGGAGTTGAAGTGTTGGTTAAAGCTTAGACACTTAAAAGAGTTTAAATGTTAGTTGAAGTGGAGTTTGAGTGAAAGTTTAGAATGAGTTTGATGTTAAAATGCTGAAGTGTAACACCGAGAGGAGTCTTAGATGGAAGAACTGAATGAAGTTGAAGCGGTGAGTTGTAGTTGAAGTGTCGGTGCTGCAGTAGTGTGTGTGTGTGTGTGTTTAACCTGAGGCTCATCAGCGCTGCAGACGCCTCCCTGCGGATGTTCGGGGAGCGGTGGGACAGTCTGCGTCCCAGCAGCGAGACGCCGTCAGAGGCCAGAGCCGGCAGAGCGTCCAGCCTGGAGCAGGAGGTGATGGTGGAGAGGAGCAGCACCTCCTCTTCCTCTTCTTCCTCCTCCTCCTCCTCTTCCTCCTCCTCCTTCTCCTTCTCCTCCTCCTTCTCCCCCTCCTCCTCCTCCTCCTCCTTCTCCCCCTTCTCCTCCTTCTCCTTCTCCTCTCTGAGCTTCAGCATCAGTTTAGGAACCAGAGGCAGCAGAGCTTCTGCACCTGAAGAGATTTTAATCTCACGTCAGAAGAGAAAAGTAAAGTCAGAAAAATAGAAGAGAATAGAATAGAACAGAACAGAAGAGAATAGAATAGAAGAGAATAGAATAGAAGAGAACAGAATAGAATAGAACAGAACAGAATAGAATAGAACAGAAGAGAATAGAATAGAAGAGAACAGAATAGAATAGAACAGAAGAGAATAAAATAGAAGAGAATAGAACAGCAGAGAATAGAATAGAATAGAATAGAATAGAAGAGAATAGAAGCTCAATTAAAGATCAGAGTAGGAGGTAAAGTGACAGATGGTTCATATACACCAGAATACATGATAATGAGATTATTGATACTTGGTGTGTATTCATGTATAAATATTATATAATTACAAAGTATAACGGAATGGATAATATTTATAGTATACTGCAGTCATTTAACAGAATGTGGTATAATATAAAAACAACAATATTAATTATAATTATAATAATACAAGATCATAATTATTATTGTTATTATTGTCGTCATTATAATTTATATTATTTTTATTATCAGAGCTATAATAAAAAATGATCCATAATAATAATAATAATCATTATTATATATAATTATTATATAATAAATAGTATATATAAATGTATATAATAATATGTATATTACTTCTTTCGTTATATCATAATCACAACATTCAGCTCTCTGTGGTGTGAAAACACATTTTAAAGTAAAACAGCGTGAATATATTCAGTGAGATATTATTAATATGAAGCTTTAATAAAACCACGCAGCCTGTTCTTCATCTTTTAGGAGAATAATTATAACTTCTAAGAGTTGTGATCAGGTGAGTTTACCTGCCGGCAGCAGCGCGAGGCGGTCCAGCACGCGGAGGACGCTCCTCCTGCAGGAGGGGGAGGAGTCATCCAGCAGCTGAGAGAGAGGAGGGAGGAGGGAGGAGGACAGAAGGGCCTGTCTGAGGGAGAAGGAGACAAGAGAGACACCTTTTACTGCGGAGTGATACCGCCTCCTGCTGGAGACACCGGGGACTACAGCCTGTACTACAAGTACTACAAGTACTACACCTACTAGAGACACCGGGGACTACAGCCTGTACTACAAGTACTACA